CGCTTAACCACTTCTTCCAAGACTTCCTCATTTCTAACGACTTGCTGACATCGTGCGATAATTAATTCTTCAGTAGACAGACGTGGATTGTCATCTAGCCTATTCCAGGTGGGGATTAAGGCTTCCACCGGAAAATCAATCTCCCTCTCATACCAGAAGTTCTGCCGGAATGCACCCTGTCGTCCTTTTCGGTGTCATGTTCTCTGAGAAAACTGCCTGCTCAAGGAACCGTGGTCAGTTTCCCAAATCATCTACTGCTAGCTTGACGATTGTGTTCTTCAAAGTCTGGTGCCCCCTTTCTACCGGTGCATTTGCCTCAGGGTGATATGGCTCAATGATCTTGATGGGTACGCACAAGGTCTTAAGTCTGCTCAATACCTCCTGATTGATGAACTCCGTCCCATTGTCTGCTATAAACCTGCGCACAAAGGGGTGTCTTAGGTAGAAATCCTCTATCCAATCGGCCACTCCCTTCCCTGTCTTTCTCCTGAGTGCTACCGCCTCTGCGTAGCCACTGAGGTTATCCCTTGCATCCAGGATGTACCTGTATCCATCCGTTGACACTGGCATAACCGCAAGGTCGAGGTGGACTAAGTGTCTTGGCCCTAGTACCCGGGTAGGTCTAAGGGGCTCGAAGACACGTGTGGAACTCCTTTCCTGGCATATCAGGCATGTCTGGCAGTATGTTGCCACTATGCCTGCCATACCTGGCCAAAAGTAGAGTGGTGCGATTTTTGCGAGGGTCCCTTTGGATGACCTATGCCCTCCAACTAGTCCATCGTGCATTGCCTGGATTATGTCTAACGGCCTAGACCTTCCGCACATGACTCGTCTAGGCATCATCCCCTCTTCCTTCTTAATCAGGTGACCGTTCCTTAAAACATACTTTTCGGCTTCCTCCCTTGCATTGGGGCCGACTTCCGTGGACTGCTTGTTTCCTATAAGCAGTAGGCCAATTTCCCTGAAGACGCCCTCATACATCTGTATGAGAAAGAATTCTCGTTCCTTCTGATCGGTATCCTGCTCCTCCTGAGCCTGATTCACTAGGTGCTGCAGTTCCCTTTGCGTCCAGGATTCTACCAAGCTCATCACAGCATCCCGACCCCCTTTAACAACCATTCCCATCAGCTCTTCCTTCGGCCCAATCGCTACTCCCTATGAATCCTTCTCGTCCTTGCGCCAAAACCTAGTAACCGGTCCTTCCCTGAGTTCTGCAACTATCGCCGGCGCGCCTTTTTCCAGAGTCTGGATCAGCAGCTGACCCGTTGTCGGCACGGTGTCCGCCATTTCGTTATTCACGACAAGGGTTCCTCCTTCGTGTTCCAGGAAGGCGTCAATTGACTCTGCGTCCTCTATCCCTTCCGACGTGATACACACCCTACTCAACCCATCTGCCCTGTTTCCGAGCCCCGGAATTCGCTCGACCTTGTAGTCGAATTGCCATATGAAGCCTATCCATCTCCCGACGGTTGGGTCTATAGGCTTATAGTTCTTTAGTGCCCCGACGACGTTGGTTGGATCGATCCTCAGGATAAACCGCCTCCTGAACAGGTACGCCTGAAAGGTCTTAAGGCAATGCAGGATCGCTAAGACCTCTTTCTTGAACTGTGAGTATTGTCGTTCCGTCGAATTCAGGGTCCTACTTTCAAATCTGATTGGTCTTTCCTTACCCTCCTCGCTTTTCTGTATCAATACCCCTCCTACTGCCAGCGGTCACCCATCTGTTTCTAAGATAAAGGGCCGCCCTACTTCGTCATCGAAGCAGGGTGTCGCTAAGGTAACCTGATCGGAAGACAGGACGTCTTTGAGGGTCTGGGCTGCCGCTTCCCTGTCCTCGGTCCATTCCATAGTGCTGCCTTCCCTGATCATTGCGCGGATAGGCTCTACTATCTTTGCGAACCCTTTGATGAAGGTGCTCCAGAATCTGACCACCCCAAGGAAGGCACGTACTTCCGTCGTGGTGCGTAGGGGCGTCGGCCATTGAGAGATCTTATCAATTTTTGTCGGGTCAGGCTTCCTTCTATAGGCCCCACATCGAAACCCCAGTATGGTCGCTTCCGGGACGGCCAGAATGCTCTTTGGTTCACGTGCGGTAATGTTATAAACCAAGAATCGTTGGAGTAGATCCTTGATATCATGTAGGTGATCCCAGACGAACTTCCGTACGCTCGGCTCGACCTCCGTCTCATCTTTGTCTCGTGTGCCCTTTATGGGATTATCGTTTATATATGCCTCGCATTTTTCCGGGAACATGTCCCCTGCTACGGCAAACATCCTCCTTTGCGCTTCTGCCACCGCGTTCGTGAAACCCATAGGGGTCACTTACATCTGCATCTGCCCTGCCGGTGTGTGCATGGCGGTGTACGGCCTATCCCTCGCGTCAAGCGGCAGTTGGTCGTAAACTGAATACAAATCTATTAAGGAGTAAATGTTTCGCCCAGCGTGGGATTCTGCCAGTAGATCAGCATGTGGGAGCGACCCCGCATCCCGAATCGTTACCGCATTTAGCTTTTGCAAGTCTTGAATCCATCTGAGCGTCTTATTGGGTTTCCGGAAGACGAACCACTTGTTCGCATAGGGGGATGCGGTGGGTTCGGCCACAAACGAATCTATCTTGGCCCTAAGTAATTCAGTGACTTCCGTCGCTATTCCAAACTCATAGGCAGACCCTTTATCGTTCCAACACTAATGCTCAACCGTGTGGATCCTAACGGGGGAAATTAAATTTGCATCCAACCGGCCCTTTTGGTCGTCATTGAAAGCGAAGGCTAGATGAAACTTCTGGCACGCCCTTCTTATCAACCGAGTCTCCTTCTCTGCTAGGAACCCATCCACTCCGATTTCCATGGTGTCTACCACCTCATCAGGTATCCGATGCCCCTCCGTTGCTCGCCTCTCCTTTATTATCCGCAGGATTTCTTCCTTTTTTTCCATGGCCTCTTCCCTTGATGTTTGTACTAGGATCAAGACCGGCTTGGCCTTCTTTCCTACGGGTTTGTACTTTCGCCCACTGCCTTTTAGGATCGTTCTCCTAAAAAATGAACGGTCGGGATTGGTCTTGCTACCTCCATGATGCGGGGCTGGATGCTAACTATCTTTCCATTAAGGCAGTAGCCCTTTCGGACCTCGTCCTCGAACTTGGCAAGTGTTGTCGGGTCCACCCCCACTTTGTGGTACCTGATCGCCTTAACAAGTTGCAACAAGTCTGGGATTTCGAGTGCTAGCTCGGGGGTCTCGTTACGGCCTTCCTTTGATTTGGGCAGGCTGGCCCCGAGTTCAACTTCCAGCTCCTTTTCCGCCACCATAACCCCAGGAGCTCGTCCTCTGGCCTCCTCTTTTTCACGGACAGACCCATCTTGATCCACTCCTTTTTACTAAAAGTCTCATCAATCATGATTTCTACTCTCTCCCTCATACCTTCCATCCGTGCGAATGCCCCCTTCAGCGCACTTTCTTCGAATGTTGGCGACCAGGTTGCCAATTTGCCCTTTGGAGGGTCCCCTCCGGTCCCAAGAAGTCGGAGGAGTTCTCCGCGGCCGGTCACTGGGTCCTCTATGTTTACTATGTATGTGACGTCATGCAGATGCATTCCTATCATTTCTACATTGGCGCACCACGGTCTTCCGAGGATTATGTCATAATCCATTTCTTCCATCATGGTCATCCGCTGAAAGGATCAGATGGATTCCCGGATTCCCGCCTTGACTGCACATTTGGTGACATACCCTGTGAAAGGAATTTCACCACCGACTCCCCGAATACTCCCTGCTACTTCCTTGTTTACCGTGCACCCCGTGACTGTTGCGAAATCTCGTCGTATGAGGGTGATTTCTGCATCGCCGTCCATTAACGCGTTAGTGTGGTGAGTTCCGATTTGGACTTTAAGTTTCCCTACAAGTAATGCATGGAAGCTAAGCTTTGTCCTGGGTGGTGCCCTCATGACTTCGCCACCTTCACGATCCGGTAGGCTTAGGCGGATGTCCGCAAAAACTTTATCCAAGTCGTCCAGATCCCCGGGGATTCTTTGGAGGTTGGAGACGCCTTGGGGTGCCTCTGCCTCTTCCGTCTCCTGCTCTTGCGGTTCCGGGGCCTCCTCTACCTCTACGTGCTTACGCGTTAGCAACTACCTGAGTCCTTTAAGCAGTCTTGGGCTGGCTTGCGGTATGGTCTGAAAGGACACTGATACCATGGTACCTAGCAGCTTACTAAGGGTGCCATCGATTTCAGGCAAAGTCAGGATTACAATTTGATACCTGAACTTCTTCTTTGCCGCCGTAACTTTGTCTACCGGTTCCTCCTCCCTTGCTTTCCCATAGACCTTCTCTTGTTCCCTGGCTTCGGTCTCTTGCTGGTCTGCGCTAGTCCCTGCGAGTTCTTCCATTACTGTATCTTGAATAAGTTTCTTTTCTGCGCCGGCCCGTCGAGTGGTGATATTTACCCTATCCTACCCATTGCCTTCTAGGATAAAATTGGCCTGTGGTCCGCGTCCCCTTGGTTGGTCCCAGACAATCTCGGCTACCGGCTCTGCTTCGACGACAGTTATCTCTAAGTTATTCAGGAGGATGACGACTCGCCGCATCCCTCCTGGCGAGTTCCAATTTACACGCTCCCCCTGGGGTCCGAGAATCTCGCCTTTGAGGGACCTGATGCACCTCTGCCGCTCAATATCGTGATAAAGTCTTGGGCAAGCCCTCACGAAATGTCTGACCATTGTGCAATACTTGCATCGTTCGTTGGCGGGATCCCTCCTGCCAAATCCCCGATTAGCTACGGTTGCCGAAACTACGGCCTCTTAGGGCGGGAGGGCGGGTCTGGACACTTGCGCCTGCATTACTAACAACGCATTTTCCACTCTTTCCATCTTGCTGTCAACCCCGTGCACTCGTTCGTGAAGGCTCTCTATCCCCTTCTTGACCTTATCCCCCGTCTTCCCGGTCAGGTCTATAACCTCCCCTTCCTTAAGCAGGGCCAGGGTCTCAGTTACCACTGTCTTCTCTGCAAGATCTGTTACTGTACTGAAATCCACATCCCTTGTGTATTCAAACTTACTGGTCTGCTGGTAGGCCGACAGAAGCTTATCTTTGTCGAACTCGGAGAACCGCCTAAGGAAGTACTTGCTCAATATACGATCCGTTACCCCGGGGATTCGCAGTGCCACTAGAGTGCACGCCCTCAGAAAGTCATTGTAAGTAGCATAGTTTTTCCTTTGGACTGCCGCCAATTCAGCCTCTGTCGCCATTTTCTTCGCCTTCAGGTACTTTCTCATCATCTCATTCTAGGTTTCCTTCCAGGATCCACTAGAGGAGACGATAGCCATAATGTCCCTTCCTAAGCTCAACGATACGTGCTGCCCTAGGTGGTCCATCTTTTCTTCCTCAGTCCATTTCAGTAAGGCTGCCATGTTCTCGTAATCTATCAGGAATTCCGTTATGTTTGCTCCATCGAAAGTGAGTTTCTTCTTTGCGTCCGTGAGATACCCCTGATTATTATTCAGAGTCCGAATGAGGGTGACTACTATCCTTTTAAGTCCCCCTTCAGAGCTACCCGCCTCACTGACCACACTATTCCCCTCTCCTTCCCTGCCTTCCTTGTGCTTTTCCCCGGTTTTCGGTGTTCCCTCCAGATCAAACCAGCCTAACACCCTCTCTCTGAGACTCCAGAGTCCATCGCATCCCTTTGTTACTTTGGGCGTGGTGGGCAGACGACTAGCGCCGCTGCCGATAGCCGGCGGGGTCGTGGCCTTTTCTGCCTCTATAGCTGGGGAGTCCCCCTTTTCCTTCCCCTTCTTGTTGGGTGTTCCCTTATGGCTGTTATTTTTTGCTCCGTACCTGGCTTCGCCCTGACTGGTCCCGCGTCCCTCTCGTGACCCTTCCCCCTGGGGATCCTCTTCATTCCCAGCCATCATTTGTTCAATAAGTCTCGCCTTGTATTCTACGGTCCGCGTTTCTATTTCTGCCAATTTGCGGCGTGCATCCGAGACTTTCGTTTTCTTGGGCGTGGTTCCTCCGGAGTTCCAAGGACTCACCCTTTCGTCGTCCCTCCCTTCCCTATTCTCCTGCGGCCCTCTTTTGCTACCCCCAACTTTTCCTGGACTTTCCCCTGTGGAGAGACCCTTTCCTTCTTCTCTGGTCCCTTCTGGCTTTGTTGATTCTTGATCCGACCCCTCGTTTTGTTCCTCGTCCCTATTCGTACCCTGACTCCCTCTGCTGTGCTGGTTGTCGTCCTGTTCTTGCGACGCCATTTCTTTACCTAGCCTGCACATGGAATTTTTTTTTTTTGCGAAAAATGGCCGGTTGTTCATGGCTTCCCTAGTTCCAACCCTAAAACCCGGTTGTTTCCATGCCTTTTTCTGTCTTTCATAAGTCGGGAAGACACTCTTGACTTTTCTTTCACAGGACACCATTTAGATTTTCTTCCGCCGGGTGACTTGCTGTCGAGGTCTGGCATTTTGTCGTCGCCCTGCCTCGGCTCTTAGGGCGGTGTTTGAGCCCAATGACCTTCCCCTTGAGGATAGCCCTTTCGGCTTTCGGACACCCAAATGCCCCGGAGTTCATGGTGCGGGTGATCTTCCTAGTTCCTTCCTGCCGCATCATCAGGTAGGGCGGAACTCCAACCAGTGCCCCCCTTTTTGCTAATGGCTACCTTCTCATCTTAATACCCACCCTTTAATTTTCTCATCTTCCCCTGGTGCCTCTTCTCACGCTAGTCCCTCAGGCCTGCCTTGTTCGTCCGGTTCCTCGAACAAGTCAGCCACCTCGGCAAGGTAATTTTCTCCCATCTCTATTTCCCTGACGATTATTACCTCAAATTCCTCAAACGACAAGCGGGGCAATCCGAATATCAAGATTTCGATGAGTTCAAGCAATTCCCAGGCCTGATTCCCCCAAAATGACCCATGTCTAACCGATACATCATAGAACATGCCCGTTGTCTGCGGCCGGAAGTGGTGGATCCAGACCAGGGTCGAGTCCACCAGATCCTTTGCCCTTGGGAGACTGTCGAATACCAAGTCTACCATGAAGCGAGGCACTCGGCATCTCAACCCTGTCATTGGGACCTTAAACTATCGCCAACCTCCTACCTCCACCCGGGTTCCCAATCCCATGTTCCTTCTTCCGCGCACTTCCTGACCTACTTGGTTCAATATCCTAGTAGCCCTCTGGAAGATTGGTAACAGCCCATGCCCAAGCGCCAACTCCGTTCCTAGCATGTGCCATCCAAGCTCTAGTAGGTATACGGTCCCCGTCACCCTAAGATCTGTGTATAGATCGTCCTCGGGTCCCCTATTAATCCTCATACCATCCCATAAGCATTCCACCATCATGAACGTCTGATCCCTTCCCAAGGTTACGACTCTCCATTCGGTATCGATCCCTTGGACCCTGTATCTTGTTGGGAGCGATACCTCCCATCCCTCTCCGCTTTTCGCGGGGGTCGGGGGTGCGTGGGCCGTCGCGACATCCGGGCGTGTCTCATCGCCATTTCGATTTAGCGGTCCCCTGCACAGTTTAAACAGCAAGCACGTTTGCTTATTTCATTTATTCTTCGGCCCTTACCTGAGCGACTCCCTGGTCCCTAGCTTGACACTTCCTTTCCTCTCTATCCCCTTCCCCTTCCTCGGCTCTTCTATCGGCCTGTTCCTTCCTCCATCGACTCATACAATAGTTGTAGGTCGTCGACGTACGTCATCCCTCGACTTATTTCCCGTTGGACGACGCCCCACAGAACCTCACTGCCTACAACCGGAGTCCTTGGTCTAGTGGTAAACACGGCGTGCAAGATTCGCAGCACCTCATACTTCTGTTCTCCGCTAAACGACCCCATTTCTAGGAAGACCCGATAGTATTCTCGGTGTACCATCGTGTCTTCGTATGTCAAACTAGCGAGGTTGGCAACCGCCCGTCTGACAAGCTTCAATCCGCCTAGCCTTTCCAGCAGAAAAGGCGGCAGCCTCATCCGAATGTTTTCGCTAGGCAATTCAAAACTTCCGGCCCTAGCTACCCTGAGGTCTGCCGTTACATCATCAAACCCGGATCTGCGAACTCAAATCCCGCCTCCCATACTAACTGCCATGCCCCTTCGAACATACTCAATGGATCTTCCCCTGATGCCAACAGAACCCCGAACTCGCGCCACCCATCCTCGGACACATACAATCGTCCGTCTGCATGCACATGCCCCCGCGGGGCCAGGTTCCACTCCCCATGCTCATCCGCATGCCACTCGACCCTTGTTACCAAGTAAACCACATTTTCCATAAGCTCAACCCCGACCCAATCCGCCACCGGGTGCCATCCTTCGCTCACGACCGACAGACTAACTTCTATCCCACCCTCTACTTCCCTAGGTGGCTCAATGCCTAGGGGGCGATCTTCAAGAAATGTCCTCCTTCATGCCATCGCGTGCTCGTCCTTGGTCTTCTAGCCCACAATTCGCACCGAACCCTTCAATGGTCAGACATTTCATTCCCTTGTCTTAGCAATTCTCCCATACTTGCCTGGCCCCACAACCTTTTCTGCTCTTTGTCAAACCACAGTACCTCGAACAGCTTAAACACATCATCTACATAGTAGGGTGTGGCGGCTACCTCGTGGCGAATTATAGCCTCCCTGGTTTTCGGGACCACTTCCATCCGGTCATTCCTTTCGATGTCCAAAATGATGAGGACCTCCCAGGCTCTATCGCCATGGAGCGACCCATATTTCAGAGATGTTTTATAGAACTCTTCCGTTAGCCAAGTGCAATTCACGTGCACCCGCCCCATAGTGCTGGCTACTTCCTCGACATGGTCAAAACCCCCAAACCAATCTGCTACGAACTCGGGTACCCAGGTCTTAATTCGTTGGCAGGGGGGCCTAAATTCCTTTCATCCTCCCATCACGACTCTACTACTGACCGCGTCCCATCCTTTGTTAGCAAATCTCTCGCCCGCCCGTTGAGCCCTTGCCTCAACATCCCCTAAAAGCCACATTGGGTTCTGCCCTGCGAGCGTTGTGCAAAACAGGTGTCAACCCTATTCCGACAAACGACCATCCTGACCGATTCCACCCTTCCTTCCGCAATCTCCTTCCATCCTTCCTCTTCCCTTAGTGGGTTCCAGACGCGTTCTACCCATAGGTATGATAGGTCGGGCACAATTTCAGACCCTACCCAGTCACACGTGGTTCCTCTCCATTTGTAATCTGCAGGTATAGACATTTTTACTCCCCCTCCAACCCGTCTCGATTCCCATCCCTTGGGCGTACAGTCCCCACAGCTCGCGCTCCCGGGCCATCGCTCCCTACCTGCACATAGTTGACAGCCCATTCCTGGGTAAGTCCCCACCCCCCTTTTCAGAAGTCCCAGTCCTCTATCTCGTCCCCTTCCTCATGATCACTGAAATCTTCCTCCCCGTCCGAGAACAACTCTTTCAGTCCTTCTAAGAAGGTTTCACCTGCCGCCACGTTCCGATAGATTATTCGCCAATGCACCGGGCTAGAAACAAAGACTTCATCCGCGCTGAGGAGGTTTAATACCTCAGCTAGCTCCTCCGCCCAGTTCTCTTCAAACGGCCCTGCCTCTACTGATAATCTAAAGAAATTCTGCCGAGCGCACTGGTACAACCTCAAGCGTGTCATCGACCGACATATTTGCTCTAGCCTGTCCCTGGTTCTGAAGACTGCGTCCACCAGGAATGGGGGTAATACACATCTCATTGTCCTAAGGGGCCGTCTCATGTTTCCTCTGTCCCCGAGTTCCACTCGCACCTCTACCTTTTCCATTTCCATTTCCGCCCGCTGACACGCCGCCCATACCACCTCCCGTTCCGCTTGCCTAAACAACTGATCCGGTGCCGTGCCTGATACCAATCTTATCACCATTTCATTTTCCATATCCTGGGATAGGTAGACCCACCCTCGGGCTTCCACTGTCCCTCAAAATTTTAAGTCCATCAGGCTTGGTGAAAGTCTCGTCAGGCTGACCTTAGTCCAAATCGTCTCTATCCAAAGGAACACGTCCTTTCCAACCAGCATCACCGTTTCATAGGCTGGCTCCAGGTCCGTCCACGTTCCTTCTTCCGGGAGGACGACAGATACCCCTTCCCTTACATCTATGGGCATTTCCGGACCACTAGAGTAGACAGGGGGCGACAACCATCGCGCCATATCGTTTTCCCGACGCCCGTCCTGTTTCCACATGAGAGCACCACACGGCCCCTTATGGTCAGATTGTCTCCCTTCTAGATGAGAATCATTTGCAGACCCCTCATCCGGGTCTCCCCGACATTTCCTACCCTTTTCCCAAACGCCGCTGCCCTGTCATACCCTCAATCAATCACCCTCAACCGACATTCCTTTTTCTTGTTTTCATTTCCTTCCGACTCCTATCCAACCTTATCTTCATGTTCTCTCACTCGTGCGGACTTAGGCAGGAGGCGACATTAGACTTAGAAGTTCAGCTCCCATCCCAACATTCATCAAGCAAACTTTACGGGGGGGAGGCACAAAAGAAAAAGTCAGGCAAACGTCGCACACAGGTCGGTCATCTCCTCACCGACCTTTTCCCCAGAAATGGTCTCTCCACTGTTACTATCGGCAGGGTTTTATCCCGTACCTCAAGCACAACTTAACCGTCGCGAGCGTGGTACCCAAACTCCAGTGGGGGGTCGCCCTCACCTTCTTGCCCAGAATACCCCATCCCGACTTGCCGCTCGTGTACCCACCATTAATCTCGGGAATCACCCCGCACATCTCGGTAGGGCCATCGGAGTCAGCCGTCCAGGCATTCACTTCCATCGGTCCGACAAGGAATAGCCTTTCCCAAACCAAACTACGAGAAGCTACTAATCGTCTCCGAGGCTCCGTCTTTGCTCGCATGCAGCGGTACTCCCTCCGCCAGTCCACAGGTTAGGCCCCGCCTAAAGAAGCGTTTCACACCCCGCCCGGCAGATCAATCGAGCCGAAGCCCGTCACCGCGCGGACGAGGATGCTACTAAGCACCCGGCGTGACAAACTCCCGTTAGACAGCTCGGTGGCCTGACCCCCGCATGTGAACAAACGGCAGCCTGCAAAAAGAGAACGACGTTTGGCAACCCGCAGTGGCCGGTGCAGACCCCTCCTTTCCTTCCGAAAAGCAGGACGCTCAAATCCCCATCATGCAATCACAAGTCCCAAGCGGGACACATATAACACAAGTGCCTTTCCCGTGGTGCACCCAGCGCTTCCTACCCATTGCTCACAAAGTTTCTCTCAGGACATTGTGTGCCACTCACCCCTAACTTCCATACATAGTGCCTGGTTCCTCTTCGTGAGCATTCTTCAAAGGTGAGCTAGTTTTCTTGGAGTCTAGCAACTCCCTTCATTCCCTTATCTTTGCGTGTGTGTCCGTTCATAGGGCAGGATTGTTCCTTCTCGATTACCCGTTTTGTTCATATGAGGTTTCTTCAAGCATTTCAAATGTAGTGCGAGGAGCCCACTGGGCTTCGAAGAAGAGGAGAAAGCACCCGTGTCGGTCGGATCGCTCCGCCGCGGGATTTTCATTGGAACCCGGACTGGCCCGGAATCCCAACCGCCTTCCAGGTAACCGAAGCCCTTCTTTCACACGAAGAGGAAGGGTCGACCTGCGGCTTGCCCAAGGCTTCCCCGGTCTGACGAACATCAGCCCGAAAGAAGGACTAGAGTCACCTCCAAGGGAGATGGCTAATCAAGTGCGCAAGCATGCATGTTATACCGCCAGGCTTGGCCTTGCCATGGGCCTAGCTGCCCTCAGATCTGGTTCACTCAAAGGAGTAAAGCATACACAAGTCCTCGTTCCTTTTCTTAATGTTATGTTCACGGTCATGCGTCGGGCGCCCCCCTCAAAATCGTATGGGTCAGTTTAACCGATATCCGGCACCTCCACCATTTTTGTAGGGGCCGTACCCTGAAGGACTTTCGAGCCTTAGTCGACCCCATTGCGGGTCCCATTTGGCGCTACCCGCCCACGCTCCCGCTCAGGGCGCAGGTCGTTCGTCCCAGGGGTACCCCCACCTAGTGCTTTGAGATGGATGGGGATGGGCCATTTGCGAGAGGGCTTTACATTGGGGGATGCAGCTCCGCTCTCGCGTCTAGATGGTAGCTCTTTGATCACTCATGGCGTTTTCTCGGTTCAATTAAGTGTGACCAAGCAATTGCTCCTTCCAATACGCAGGCAGTCCAGGGAATCTATTGAAATTTTGTCTTCTTTCGTGTGTAGGCCAAGCGTCATCCATTGGGCCACACACCTTTTCACCAAGTCTAGTGGCTCAAGACAGCCCCTACGGCATCCTTGGGGTGGGGTGGCATCGCCCGGACCCCTAGCCACTATTTTTTTTTTTATCTGAGCCACTAGCATTGCATTGACCTATCTGAGACTGCCCTTAGTCCTTCTCGGCTTGCATTGCATTCAAGAGCGCCATTGCATTCAATCATCACACAAGCCACATCCAGGCG